ACACAAACCTTAACGTCTAAACAACAAAGTCATAGGCAGCAGTGGGAAGGATCCTTTGGTGACTTGAAATAATGTCCTGACTATTCAGGCCTGTGTTTGTGTGAGCTGATGAGAGGCTGTACTTACTACTAGTATATGTTCTTGTGGTGACAACCAGCAGGAGGTGGAAAAGGCATGGTTGTGCTGTCTTTTAGGCTTCTAAGATGAGACTTGCTGCCTGACTTTAATTGCATTGTTGGTATTCTTAATATCTGCAAGAGCAGAATAAAAATAGGGCAGGGAATGTTCAATGACCATTCTACTGTTTCTGCTCTTAGTGGAGATAACAGATTCCTCTTAAGCATGTACTTACTGTTTTATAATAGAGAGCATTACAAAGAATAGCAATAACAACAGGTTTAGCGAGCAATATGACATTTGTTCAGCTATCCTAGCACTTTGTATCCTATGTTTGTACAGTCTCAAACTGCAGGAGCTACCTTATGTGGTTTTTCAAACAATTATACAAGGTACATTCAAATAAATGTGGGTGTATGTATATACACGTAGATTATATTTTCTACAATACATCAATGCTTCATTTTATGTTGACACATATTTATTAGATACCAAAATTCTGTGAGATTTCAAACCTGTATATATTGTGTAATGTTCAAATCAAGAGAAAAATATTCATATTTTGAATATTTATCATTTCCTTGTGATGAAAACATTCAAAATCCTTTCTTCTAGTATTTTTAAAAAACAAAGTACATTTAAAGCCACCCCACTTATTAATTCTTGGTTTTATTTCTTGATTTTTAGAAGTTTTATTAAGGAAGTCTGTGCCTGTGCCAACATGTAGAGTGTTGACCTATGTTTTCTTCTAGCACTTGCAATGTTTCTGGTCTAATTCCTAGGTGTTTGATCCACTTTGAGTTTACTTTTGTGCAGGGTGAGAGATAGGGATGTAGTTTCATTCTTCTACATTATGGATATCCAGTTTCTCCAGGATCATTTGTTAAAAAGACTACCTTTTTTCAAAAGTGTGTTTTTGGCAACTTTGAGGATTAGATGACTTTATCTATGTGGACTTGTCTCTGTGTCATCTTTTTTTATTCCATAGCAAAAAACAAAACAAAACAAAAAATACAATTGAAAATGTGAAGAGAATACCTACAGAATAGTATAAAACCTTTGCCAGCTATTCTTTTAACAGGGGATTGATATCCAGAATATATAAAGAATTAATAAACTTATCACCCAACCCCCCAAATAATGCAATTAATAAATAGGCAAATGAATTAAACAGATTTCTCTCAAAAGAAGTAGTAGAAATGACCAACAAATATATGAAAAAATGTTTGACATCCTTTGGAGTCAAGGAAGTATAAGTCAAAAATACACTGAGATTTTATCTCACTTCAGTTAGAATGGCAATCATCAAAAATATAAATAATAATAAATGTTAGTTAGAATGTGGGGGGAAAGGTACATTTATACATTATTGGTGGGACAGCAAATTAGTATAACCACTTTGGAAAGCAGTATGGAGATTTCTCATAAGACAATGAATGGAATCACCATATGACACAGCTGTCCCATACCTTGATATTTGTCAAAAGAACTAAAATCAGCATATGGTAGTCATACATGTATACCAATGTTTTTAGTAGCACAATTTATAATTACAAAGTTATGGAACCAGTCTAGATGCTCATTAAAGATGAGTGGATACAAAAATGTGGTATATATACAGCATGGAGTTTTACTCAGCCAAAAAGAACAATGATAATATGGCAATTGCTGGTGAATGGAACTTGAGAATATCATGATAAGTGAAATAAGCCAGACTAGGAAAGCCAAGGGTCAAATGTTTTTGCTCATAAGCAGAAGCTAGAGAAAAATAAGAAATAAGAAGGGCATCTCTTAAAATAACAAAGAGAACAATGGAATAGAAAATGGGAATAAAGAGAAGGAAAGAGACACAACTGCAGAATGGAATGGACCAACGTGTACTGTGTGTATATATGAATATATCACAAGGAACTCCACTTTTATACATAACTATAATGTACCAATTAAGAAAATAAATAAATAGAAGCAAAGTCAAGAGAGTAGAGGAAAGAGGGAGGGTAAGGGAAGGAAAATGGTGAGGTAAAGGGGGAAGTACTAGGGATTGAAATGGAGAAACATGTCAAAATGAACATATGGTGTATAGTGCAAAATATAAATATTTAAAATATTTGAAAA